TGGCACAACTGCGGCATGTGTACATACGAGAGCGTCGGCGGTTTCATCTATTATTCGACTTTTTTACAAAAAAAGATAACATCGTTGTGCAAACGACATATAACTGAGAAGATCTTAAAAAATGTGTGTAACATCAACTAATCCGTAGCATGACATTAAGGATAGCGATGGAATTGGAATACAGGTTCGACGTAGTGTCTTCGGAGCGTAATGAGCATTGAGAGGTGAGCGGTGAGATGTACGGTGAGGTGTGCGGTGAGGTGAGCGGTGGGGGTGGGACTATGGCAACGGCGATGGCGATTGCAATAGTGATAGCGTACCGAGGATGAGCTTGGCGTTGCCGTCGACAATGTCGGCGCCGCTGATGTTGACGAGGCGCACGCCGGCCGCCTCGAGCGCGCGCAGCGCCGCGTTCGCGTTGTTCAGCTGGTGCACTCGCATGCGGCCGCGCTCGCGCCTCTGCAACAGACGCCTGCCTCACAGAACTGTGCTGCGTCTGCTGACCGACCATCGGACGCTGGCTTACGTAGCGCTGAGCGGTGAGTATCTCGAGCAGCGCCAGCAGCACCTCGCCGTCGCGCAGCTCTTGCACCAGGTCTTGCACCGGCGGCTTGTTGTTCTGAAAAAACGACTCACATTTTATTTTCAATTTTAATAAATTGATTATAATTTGTAGGTTTCGACGTTGCCGAAACGGGGAAGCGCACCTTGACCAGCTGCGAGTTGATCCATTTGGCGAAAGTTTTCTTCTGCACGTCCTCGCGTTCGTCTGCAACAACGACTACTTTATTTATTACAGCTCATTACGTTCAATAGACGCAAAAACTATACTACACTTTTTACTTTTCCGTGCCTTTATAATTAGGATATGCCCTACCAGCCAGACACTTTTGTCACTAATTGTACTTGATATTATACTCATGACAGATTACGTGTATCACCAGACATATTGTAGTTATATTGAGTTTTAGCTTTTAGCTTAGAACATATGTTTATGTATTTGATATGATTAATTATAGAAGCATACGCGCATCGCACGACCACTGACAGCGAACTGTTTAGTATCGATGTCTTTTAGCGATTCTGTGTGAACTGGCCGCGAGGCCGAGTGGTGTACATACACGTACAGACAGTAACGGCACTTCGTATTGTGTACAAAATTGATTTATGTCTCATCTTGACGAAATGACTAAATACACGGCTCTTGTTGACACATGTAACGTTGTTAATTGGCTCCGATCGGCGTTTGTCGATTGCGCCATTTTCTGTGTCCTGCAATCCGCGACATTTCTGGAGAAACATGGATCATGAAACCGCAAGCACCTATTCCTTAAACTAAATAGCAAAACTAATACTACATTAACATTCTTTAAAGAGCATTCGTCCGGCGCTAGGAGGCGACGCCAGGCCTCGCCGGATATGTGCGACTAGACTCTCACGTCGATTTTCTATCATTTGATTGCTTTATCTTTTAATGATTCTAGGTTTGTTATAACATCAGCGGCAACGACAACGAATTGCCGAATTGGTGTGCATTATGCTGTAACAGTCACATAGGCCCACAAACAGGCGGCACCGCTCGCGCCTCGTTACACCTCGCCCCGCGTGCCGTGCCGCGTGCCGTGCCACCCGCCGCGCGCCAAGTCCTCGCGCCGCACATCATCTTGCAATATTTTTTGTCTATCGCAAAACCATTATTTCGCACGAAACAACCAACATAGCTAATATCATGAAATATTCAGCAGAAATGTGTTACTAATGAATATTGTAAATGACGAGCAAGAATTCTCTTTTCAGAGTTGCTTCGAGAATCGATTATCATAGCTATGCTTTTAATTGACAAAATTATTCCTCCCTCTATAAAATAGCCAGACTAACGGCTGAATACTGAAACGACATTTATATGAGATATGTAAGAGAATTTTAAAGGATAAGGCGATGCAAAAACTTAAAATTCCATTATAATGTTAATGTCTGTGAAATTGCAAACGCCATTACGAAGAGAAGTGTTATACTCGTAGTCATGGAAGTACTACTGGAACAGGTTCTGGTGCTCTTGTCGCCAAATTGAAGCCGAGGAAGACCTCAATAACTGTACCTTTTATCCCTCTTTTGCAATGCTGACTATAACTAGACTGTTAAAATATGATTTAAGAACAATAATTTAAAAAAATGTTTTTGATGTCTGACGTCAGCTGATTATTGCTTCAGATGGATTTTAACATATTATTGTTATCATCAATGTTTTTACTAAAAACAATACGTAATTCTAAATCAGACATTACTGAATAAAAGTCTTGTGAACTTTATGCCGCCCTAGCGTATTCCTTATACCTAAATTTGAAATTGAAACAAAGTTAATTTAATAAAAAAAGGAATCAATAAATGCATAAGTGTTGCCTGGTCATCATAATTCTTCACCAACAAATTATGTTTAAATCTAACCTGTGAAGATAAAACCAACAATCACCATAATACTGACTTTGGCAAGCCTCTACAACACAAATTCTTTCCATTTTAACTAAAATTCTTCAAAAATAACACAAAATCAGAAAAGACTCTGCCATTAACATCAGAGTTGGGATGTCATGTGGGGTTGTCAGTTCAGGTATCCGAATTTCAAACAAAAGGAAACCTGTACGTCAATAGCAAATTTTTTGTGTTAACAAGGTTTTACACGTAGCAACATATAATATTGCTTTAACATGTTGGTAATTAATTATTTTTAATAATTAAAAGCATTTCAAAAGTAGATGTTTTTACTTCATTACATTACTTCAATCATCTATTTTTCTACACACAACGAAAGGATTGATATCTGGCAACTCTAGGTCACTGTTAGAAAGGGACACAGGGGACAGTTAGAGCCCTCTCACTCGGTTTCAGTTTTGTTTTGCGTGCCACAAGACTCTTATGCCCATAGCATAAGGTTTTATTTTCTTTATTTTAACTGCAAGGTGTACAGATAGAACTCATTCCTGTTGTACATAGTACTTTATACTTCCCTGAGTTTGTCTAAATAAGGGTGATTAGTTTGACAATTCATTTGATAATTTAGTAGGGATGTGTAGTGGAGAATCAGGTGTGAATCTTTTGACATTTTGATGTTTACTCTCATAGAACTTAGAATCAATAGTCATAGTTATAACTTATGGATTAAAATGAAAACACTGTTTTCTCAAATCAATAATGACCTACAGAACCAAAAGAAAAAATAAGAGTTAATAAATAGTTAATACTACTACAATTGTACATTAGCAATTGGGATTTTACTATTATTTTTATCATTGCATTGTCACCTAAATTAGTTAATAAGTAAATAATAATTTTAGTTTAGTTTGATAAATTTCATTGAAACCAAATATCAATAGTTCATAGTTGTTCGCTATGCGTGTTTCTTTGTCACTACAATATCTGTCTATTAAATACGGCATTAGCCTTCATACAAATTTGATTTGATACTTCATACATGTCATTTACCAAACTAATCATATTTGGACAAACTATAAGATTTGTTTCGGTATAGCCATCAATATCATAACCAATTATTAAATTGCACCAACTTTATTTACAATAATGATTTACATTAAAATACCACTTAATGTTTCTGACATGCTCCATAATTTTATTAGGTTGAATTATATTAACAGCCACTGTGTCTCTATGAAGTGGATCCCATTGGAACAAATTAATGCACTGACTCATCCGGACACAACTGTTGTCAATTAAGTGCTGGTCATTTGCTGTCTGCTGTATTCTATCTACATACTTTAAATCATTAGAAATGGGTTATTTTTGGCACCAACTACACCTCCCTATATAGTGTCCAACTAGGATCAATACAAAAACTGATTTATTGTCAAAATGATTGTGGAATTCACATTCCATTACCTATTTCTTTTGAAATTGAATGAATTGAAAATGAATGAATAAATCCTTTTAAAATGAACTTGATTAAGTTTAGTTTTAAGAATATTGTTTTAAATTTATTTTCAACTTCAGGTGACTGGTTGTAATGTAAACTTCAACAACTTCTAATTATTTGTTTACAAATTAATTTATTGTGTTGGTATAAGGTCTCAGTTGAACTGTACAATTAACATCTGAACTGAGTGTTTGTAGCGGGCTTTATGCACATCTTGGCAACAGTTTTGTGTATACTTCTTCTGTCTTTGTATTTGTGTCATAACAATAAATAAGTATGAAAGTCAGAAAACCTTAAAATTCTATGGTAATCTAATAAGAAGAAGAAGACAACCTTATGCTATAATTTGCAAACTTGGTTTAACAAATAATTTTAGCAGAAGAGATGCAGCAGGACTCTGAAAGACTATGTGCACTGAAGGTGTGTGTGCGGTTTGGATACAGCACTGCAAATGTCACACATTCCTGAACACATCACAACTAGGGCATGACCACTGCACTGGCTTGTGTGCATGTGTGTGTGCCCGTAACACATAAATAAATATATACATGCTCACTATACTTTTGCAAACTGCAAAGTATGCAAGAGTAAGATAATGTTTTGTCATAAAAAAAATATGCTGGTTTCCATTTTACATTTTATATATAACTATGACTATGTTACAAAAGTGGAGTTGGTGTAACACATTTTCAAGCCCAAACATCAGTTATATGGGATAATCCCTGAGATGGCAAGGAAATATTTTTAACAGTGTTTTATCTACTTTTGTGAGCACACTCAAAGATAAGATAAAATTGGCTGCGAAATTCTAAAACCGCAGCACGCAGGTAATTAGAAAATGATAATGTCATCCCGCATCATTACTTCATTGCATCACAACATCTCAAGTTGTACTCTCAAGGTCCAATTTATTAAGTAAAGCGCGATGCGCTGCCGCCTCTACCACGAAACTTACCAGCGGTACTCGACTCCATTTTTCAAAAATGGTAATTCCTTACGACGACCCGTTTACAAACAAGATTTAGTGTTCATACAAACTTTCTGAAACATGACAACACACGGACACAACACTTTAAAACTTTTCACGAACTTTTTAAAACTTTCCTGAGGTCAATAGAAGTTGCACACAGTAATCCAGATTGTAAAAATTTGACTATAATAGCACTTTAACACTGTCACTATAAGTAAAAAACAACAATGATAACATTTAATTACTTTAAGACACTATTTCGGACGGCAGAGAAACTACAATACAAAATACAAACCATAACTTGTTCCATGCAACTACACACACAAGACCGAGAGGTGGGGTGGGAGTGTTGCCAATGAACATTTTACCCGACCAAACGTAATGTATACGACAAAATAGAAAGGGAACACTTTTCAAAATTGGGCAACTCGTCCTGTTTTAATGTTTTTCGTTGAAACAGCACTAAAGATGCGGAAATTTTAATTTCAAAAATTGTTTTACGATTCAACTTCTTATTTGTATGCAAACTATATCCATATCTATTCCATTTAAACTCATTATTCCGATTAACATCACGCTTTTTTTTCTCTGAACCTTTCTCCGTAAAAATATTTTTGTCATTCCTTTTCAAAAATTTAGAGTATTATCTAATTAATCTATTATCTTGTTTTCGAAAAACTATAGATTTTTCCTTCACTGCGGAGTTACAGCCGCAGTGAAGGAAAAATCTTTAATTTTGTAATTTAATGGCTTGAATACGAAAGTCGTAAATCTCGGTAATTGCCGAACCATTCGCAACCGATAGTTGGTATTTATAACTGTGACAGATAGGAATCGTGTATTGTTAATCCGTGGAAGTAATAAGTACTAAATAAAACAGGAATGAGTCCTATCTGTACACCGTGCATTTAAAATAAATAAAATGTAACCTTAAGCTAAGGGCGTAAGAGTCTAGTTGCACGCAAAAGTAAATTGAAACCGAGTGAGAGGGCTACAAGTGTCCCCAGTGTCCCTTTCTGACAGAGACCTAGAGTTGCCAGATATCAATCCTTTCGTTGTTCGTAGAAAAATAGGCGATTGAAGTAATGTAATGAAGCAAAAACATTTAATTTTAAACACCTTCGATTTGGGGTCGATATTATTGTAATTATGTATTTTGTATTGTTTTTGGTGACACATTAATATATTACATAAAATCCATCTGAAGCAGTAAATTGGTAGTATACAAAATTGGGTACCTAAATTAGGTAAAATGACCTATAATTGACTTTAAAATTTTAATGCAATACGTACATTTGCTGTGGCTTAAGTGCTTTTCATATGGCACGAAGATGTAGTCGGGGAGATCCCCAACCTCAACCTTCCACTCGATCTTTCGTCGCCGGTCCAACGGCGAAGATTGCCGGAAAAACGCCATCTCTCGATACATCGACGCATTACGCCAGGACTTCCAAGTTGACTGTCACTGTTACAATAAAAAATTTTAAAACACAATAGGGAATATGCATGTATTTTTTTTCTTTTTTTAAACGATTCTACCTGTTATAATATAACCACAAAAAAAAAAATTGACGCGAAAATATTCAACCATTGAGCTAAAAATAATAAAATAAAATTACGACCATTTTCGAGCGACTAAAACGCGACCGGAGTTGACATGAGACGATTGACGTCAATCGTCTATTCCATTCATACGCTCAGATGTCACTTTAACGTAAAACACAACAAAGTTTCTCAAGGTCAAAAAGTCAAAAATCGATTCATTTTTATTATTCCTGGTACAAATAAGTGGTAATTAATAATTCTATTCATTATTTTTTTTATTTTATAGTTGGTTTTGATATCGTGTTTACAGCAAAATACTTCAAGAGTTTATTTCTATATAAAGTAACGTAAATGAACTGTGTATTGTCAACACAGCGACGCCATATTAGATAAGCCACTTGCTTCGACCAATAGTGTGC